ACACAAAAAGGGGGTTAATGATGTATAGGGAGAAAAAAGTGTGAAAAAATGTATTTGTAATGGTTCTGGTAGCATGTCGCATAGCTGTACTGAAATGCTTGCAGACATTGTCTGCGTATTTCCACAAACCTTTATATCACTGGAGTACAGGGCGATCGTTGACTTTAGCTCTGTGCTCATACCGGACAATGCGATACCTCTCCAAATGGACAGAGGGATGGTGGGGTGACAAGCCAGAGAACCAGTGTGTGAACGTGTGTTTATTGTTGGAAGCGGCACTAAGATGAGAATGGGTGCCTCAGAGGATGTTTTGCCTGAAGTGGACCCCGCCTCGTCTGCCGCTCCAAAGGTTTGTCTTTTCCAGCCCTGGCAAGGCGAGAGAAGTGAAGGAGAAAAAGGGAGCGATTGTTTTAGTGGGCGCCACTGGTCTATTGTAAGTGCAGTGTGTTCTTTCTCTCGACCTCTGACCTGCATTGTTGTGAGGCTGTTCGTTCGGAGAGCCGAGACAGCTGGGAGAACTGCGGGGGGCTGATGGACAGCTGGGGCCAAACTAGAGAGAGAGAGATTGAGCAAGGGGGAAAAGAGAAAGTGGGAGAGGGAGTAAACCAAAACAGAGGAGGTGAACAAGGCCTTATTCTTGAGCAACCCCTTTCCCTGTCCTCTTGTGGGTCAGCTGGGCATTGAAATGACACATAGTTCCACACGTTGAGATGGTGAGAGCAGCTGAAGATGAGGAAAGGACAGAATGTGAGATTTAGATTAGAATGTTTTCAATGTACTCAACAACTTATTCATTCTTATATTTTATTTTAAACCTCAGACTTTGTTAAAAAGCTGTTTGATCTATATTTCTTTAAAATAAATGAAGTAAATGATGATAAAATTGTCATTTATGGGTGAATTGTCCTATTAAATGTGGCTGAAGCATTCATCACATTTGATGCCACTGCAATCTCAGCAAGTTACTCATAAAACTGTAATTTACTACCCACAGAAGTTATACAAACTATACAAGATGTTTTTAGAGTCTTTGGCATTGTTCATTGCCAATACATCAGCCGTCTGTGCAGAATTCAGCAGGGCTGAAATAAGGGAACAATTTCAGAGTTGTCAGCTGCTGTCGACATATCTTTTGAAAACAGATGAGAAGGCACAGAGGAGAAATGTGCTAGCAAAAATGAAAAGGCTTGTGAAGATGGTTGAATTTTCCCATAGGGCAGATGGTCATTGTTGTGACCTCTGTACCACTGCAAACACCCATACAAAGTTTATGATAAAAAAATAATACTACAATCTTAGTGATACTTTTAAGACCCTAAAAGACCCTAAATTAATTGTAAATCTTATTCTAATACAGCCATTGCTCAAAGGATTTATTCTGCCTGTGACCACATCAGGTGAATAAGGCAGATGATGATGGTCCAAATAGAACTTAATATATTTGAGCCATTTTAAATGAAAAGAAATGTAGAAATTTCATTGCATTAATGAATACTATTTCAAAACAAAAGGCATTTATATAAATAAATAACATATTTCAACTAAATCAATCCACAAAATGTTTGTTTTAATTTATAAAATGGCATTCTTCGAAATATATATTTGTATGTCAAATTTAACACCGAAATATGTGGAATTTATGATGGTCAGGCTTACTGTAACACCAGTGATAAGTCTGCTAGAAAACCTGTGCAAACTTGAGGGAAACTGACTTCATACACCCACTAAATATCACCTTGACACCAGATGGTTAAACGTCATTTCAGGCTTGAAGACATTCTCTAGACATTCTCTGCAGGTCATTTAATCCGATATTTCTTAAAGTGTGGCTATACAGTGTTTAAATACTTTTTGGGGCAATAGCACATCTTCCTTTTCTGCATGAGGTAATTATATATGTTGTCTGGAGTTGTGATTTTTCAAAGCAAGTTAGATAGGAGGAGTGGATGATGGGACATTAAAGTGCAGTCTGAAACCTCTTTCACTCCTCCCCAGTTTTTTTGTCTCTCTGGCACAAATCCATTGACCAAACAACGCAGTCTCCCACTAAATGAAAGGTCCTGATCCATAGTGGGGAGATGGGGATAAAGCATTGTGATTAAGATTGTATTAATGGGGCCATAGGAGGCTGGAAGGCTTTAATCAGTGTCTGTGCTGCCGTAATCCCCTGCCTTTAAGCTTCAGCTAACGCTGTGATCCTCCTCCTCATGAGTCACATCACACACACTCACACAAACACCCTGGATAGGCTGGAGAACAGGGAGGTCAAGGTACAGAGCTGGAGTACAATGAAACTGATAGATGGTGTATGCTAGAAGGCAGCTGGACAAGGAAACCGGGAGGAGGTGGATGAGGGTGTATGAGGTTTGCAGAAAGACAGAAACAAAAAATGCTGAAGTGGCAAGATGGATGGATGGATGGATGGATGGATGGATATGATTTATACAGGCAGACAAATAGACGGATAGATGGGGAGATAGACAGAGACAGACAGACAGGCAGGCAGGCAGGCAGGCAGGCAGACAGACAGACAGATACAGTAGATATGATTTATACGGACAGACGGATGGATGATGGACAGATGAACAGATAGAAAGAGACAGAAGGACAGAAAGAGACAGACAGACAGACAGATAGATAGATAGACGGATGGGCAGATAAACAGACAGACAGACAGACAGACAGACAGATAGATAGACAGATAGATAGATAGATAGATAGA